CTGATTTCGCAAAGAGAAAATGCATCAAAGTTCCTAATTATTTGAGGCTATAAAATATCAATTAATGACTTTTTTTCATAAACCGACGGTATGTTAGATAAAGAAAGATCGATGTTAATAAAGACGTTTCATGTTTTAATAACATATGGATATATATCAGATTTTTTATTATACTAGACGGTATAGATTTTAGTTTACCCTCGTAGATTAGAGAAGTTACTGATTGTGCTTTTATATGAACATTGAACACGCGATCGTTGACAGATAACAGAAGCATAGCGGATTTAGTAATATCTAGAGTCAATGCATGACGATATTCCATTTACAATATTTAAATTACTACAAGTCTAAAATGAGTTTTGTAAATTTAAGTCGATTTGGAAAAATGAAATCAATTAAAATGAAATAAAATGTATCTTGGGTTCAATTATACCCACATGTGGAGAAATATATATGCTGTAATTCTTTTTTTTTTAAATATTTAACAATTTATTTATTTATATCGGTTATGTTACTCTAGATATCACCACTACAAACCCTCTTACACCGAAACATTTAATTATACATAGTATCTACCTAGCTTTAAAAGAAATCTATCACTTTGAAAACTTAAGGAATGAATATCAATTTGGTATCAAAGATTATATATTTATATTTATAATGACATATTTGAAAGGAAAATACGACACATTTTTTAATTACCCAGTCACTAAAATATGAAGTTGTGATAATAAATACTGATGGACTCACAAGATAACCGACAATGTACTTAAAAATTTATGATGAACAACCTTATTTGGTTTTCAGTTCATTTATTAGGATCTTGGTATAATTATTATACTAAACCAATAGATGATTTTTTTTAAAATACTACATTAATCCCTCAGATTTTATTTAATTAATAAAAATTCGTTTTAACAAGAAATTTTATTTCCTCTGTAATGTGGTAATGACCCCTTTTTATCAAATTATTAACATCCGTCCAAAACTTCGTGAATAGCTTCATCTCATCGTAACCTACAACTATTTTATTTACGAAAACTCCTGGAATCGGAGCTTTTTCAATTTGGAAGACAAGGCAGACTTTGCCTGTTTAATCAATTTCTAAAAATTCGTATATACCTATTGAGAAAAAAGGTGGCCAACAAAATTATTGGGCCGTTTGATCTATAAAACCTTCTTATTTTCACATTTTGGGATTATCGGTCACGCCAAACGGCTCAATATTTTTGAAGGCCACTTTTTTTTTCTCGTTTTTGTGCTCAGATAATCTTACGATACAAGTGGGAAGAAAATGGGTATTTACGGGTTTTTAGTACCTAATTAAATAGACAAAGTTTGGCGATTTCCAGACTGAAAACGCCTCAAATCCGAGAATTTTCGTAAATAAAATGGTTGTAGGTTACGATCAGATGAAGCTGTTTACGAAGATTCAGGCGGATATTAATAATTTGATAAAATAGGGTCTCTACCACGGATTATAACCTTTTTGTTTTAATGTCATTTTCAAATATTCTAAAACAAAAAAAGTCATAATAATCCATTAAAAATAATTTTTAGTAATCTAGTCCATGGTAGAGATTGTTAAATTAATATTATTAATCTAATTGTTTTCTTATTGTCTCTTCATCACCATTATTTTGGATTTTTTCCTCATTTTATTAAAAACAAATTTTCTGGAGAATATATAAATTAGTCATGCCACAATGTAACAATTTATGTAAAGATAGAGTACTATCGTCAGTGGTACTGCTAAAATACTACTTACATGTATGCATATACTAAAAAAATTGGCAATTGTTTGTTATGATTGTTGTTCTTTCAGTATATTCGAAAATTTAATTAAAGCCGTCGAAAAAAAGATATTTTCAGTATATCCAGATAGTAACATTTATTGTTATAATTGTAAACGAACAATAACTTGAAATCAATCTCAATTCTTACAGCATGCTAAATTCAAATAGAAGTATTCAGGCGGAATTTATCAACTCTCAAACCGGTTTTTATAGTTTTAATTTAAAAAGTATGTATTTTTAGTTGAGTTATTTTTTACAAAAGTATAATTTCTGGAAATATTTAAAATTTCAATTACCATCAAAATTTGGAGATTATAGTATAGAATTTATCGATTGTAAAGCTTTACAGCCAACGTCATTATTAATTCTCAAAATTGTTTTAATTATTTCGCAAAATTCTCTTTATTTATTTTCTGAAATTCAATATTAGCTCCTCTATATTACTTATTGTTATCAATAATCAAATTCCTTTCATTCAATTTCACGAAAAAATACAATAATATTTTTATTTTCAACAAATCAGTTATTAATGTTATTTGATTCAGAAAATTGGAAACTTTTCCGGCTGAAATGTTTCAAATTTGAATAATTCTGAGAAAATATTTTCATCAAATAAATATATCTAATATTACTCTCCAGAAACATGTATATATATATATATATATATATATATATATATATATATATATATATATATATATATATTTATAACTTATAAATATGGTTGTTCTGCAACTTCAAATACATCTATATTATTATTTAGAACTATTTTAAATATTTTAAATTAATGCTAATTGTCACTAGCATGACAGGTGCGGATGAAAAATTGAGGACAAAAAAAAATAAAAAAATTAATGGTTTAAGGCCTTTTCTATATCTAAAAATTAATCGTTCTCTTCCCGACAGCAGATCCACTGATTGTCATTACTTATAACAGGTGTGTGTGAAGATATATTTTTTTCTCTTTAATTATTTATCCGCACCTGTCATGGTGTTGACAATCAGCACATTGAAGATATAAAGTTTGAAAAAAAAAATCAATTATTGGCTCTATTTTGTAAAATAAATAACTTCAGATTCGGTCCCTATTTATAATGTACTTCTAATTCATATTCTAGGTTATGCACTTATCATTTGGACTGATTATAAATTATGACTTATGTTGATGAAGCATTGATATTTTTTATTGTCTTTATTCCGTATTGTATATTAATATGTTATTATACATAAAGCACTGCATTGTGTAATAAATTAATTATTTCTCAGTAACTCATTGTTTATTTTACTCAGTGTCATTAATTTGTTAATTTTCATATATTATATCATTATGTTGTTTCGATTTGTTCTATTCATTCTGTCAATTTAATAATTATTAAAAAAAAAATCAAGCATATAATGTTATATAAATATCAACTATCTTATAATTTTATCTCAATATCAATTTAGGAAGAAATTAAATCAGAATAAGTTTATTATAACAACTTTTATAAAATAACTACGTAACGTTTTGTGCCTTCGATTATAGTTTTTTAAAGGTTTGCGTGGTAAAATGTAGTGTGGGCGTCACCCACTCGAATCGTACAACTGAAACGTTAGGAATGGTCAGTTAAATTTTAATCTTCTAATTTTATCTATCTATTGTATGGTGAAATAAAGCTAACAAATTTATCATCACTTTTGTTTAAATAAATATATTTTATAAACAAAAACAGATTTTGGTACTGATGGTATAGTATATCGTAAAGTTACTATAAATGAATAAATCGATCCTTATTATATATAATTTAAGCATTTTAAACGATCTACACTTTAAAAAAAATTCATACAGCACATGAAAAATACCCACTGACACCAAAATACTCATTCGGCAGATATCTTTCAAAGCAGTTTTATACTTCAAATTTTTTTTTTATTTTTAAGAAAATTTACTGAAAATTTAATAAGACAAGTCCTGCTAGAAAAAAAAAATGTATAGAAACGCACTGGCTGTGTGACCTGGAAAGAAGCAATCGAAACTCCAAGTAAATAAGTGATCATAGTCTGCTTTGCCAGTTCTTTTAGTTTTGAAGGTATACGAATGCGTTAGCGCGACCACTATTTTAAATTGTTAAGTAATAATAATAATGATATTGCCCATGCAGTACATAAAACAAAAATATATGAAAAAATAAGTTTATTAATAATATGTTAATATTTTTTTTTCAAAGTTAATAGTAAATTTCGAATATTTTTAATGATTTCTTGTATTTAGAAATATTTTATATTTTCCTTGCAAATATTTTTTTTTTTTAATTACTGTTATCATTCTCAATATTTCATGCTCATACAGAGACCCGAATTTCGAACGATACTTCATAACATTTATGTATAAAATTTCAATTATGCGATTAAACATTCTGTCGGTAGTATTGATTTACAAAAAAATAAATAAAATCCGGTAAGGCTTTAACCGATCGCAACTGATACATTGCATTGTGGTCAGGATAACAACCGGTGTTTCTAACTCAGCGGTTATGTAAGGGATACCCTTGTTCCCTTTACGTCTCTGAGAAACCTACAGTGCATATATTTTAACCTTCTATATTTCACCTAGAGTTATTTCACCATAGGTTAGTGCTAGGAGTTTTAGGAGACAAAATTGAATTTTATTTCAAAAGCTTAACGTAGGAGGATATAATGAATTGTATTTCTTGATTCATTATTTTCATCAAAATTAAAAAATAGTGGTCATAGAATTCAATTATTAAAATTTGCAAAACGTATGATTTTCAAATTGGAAATAAGGAAAAAATTCATTTTTTTATGATAGTATTCGGGGTTTTTCTCAAGAATAAAAGCGTATAAATACTAGGCAGTGATATTGTATAATTTGGATTATTTCATTTATTTAAATCCGTCTCATTTTGGTTGAAGTAAAGATACAAGATACCTATTAGCAAGAGCTAATTCTATCACTTATTCTCTAACTGTAATTAATATTTTTTTAATCATATTGTTATTAACTACGTTTAACAGATAAAGAAAAGATGCATCCGTACCAACACACAATTTTTTTATAACGAAAATTAATGAAAATTTGACTTTATCTGACACAGTCCGACATGTTAAGGATGTTACACCGGTAAATCATTAACCTACGCTCGAATTTTCAGACTTGGATAATGAATTTGATAGACTATGGCAAACTAAGATGAATTATCCCACCTGAGCTGCAGCGTGTGAGTTGCTGATGACGTTCCGCCCCGTGGGGCAGCCTGTCTGTCGACTCAATACGCGCTATCGATTCTGCCGGTGCCCGGTAGAGGCCGCTGCCTTCGCGATCGAAGTGCGTACGCACTGGCCTCCCCTCTCCGATTAGGTCGTGGCCACACTTCACCGACTGCTACCCCATGGTTGTTTTGCTTGTATGCGTTTAAAATGGTCCCATACACTGTCAATATTATTGAGACAATATAGAATTTCGTCTATATGCTGATCGTGTAAAGGCTAAATTTGTATCAAATATGGAGTGAAACCTCTCAATAAGGACCTCCCTCTTTAAGGGACATATCTGTTTACTGGATAATGTCTATGTCTCTATTCAGGACAAGCATACAAAAACGATGCATTTGAAACCTCATTTTGAGGGATGCCCTAGATAAGGAGCACATACAAAGAAAATTACACGTACAAGGAAAACGGTTTTTAAGACCTCTGGATAGAGAAAAGTTTAAGATTTGATTCCTTATTTTTTGAAGAAAGTATCAGTCTAATAAAAATAAAAATAATTGTGTTGAAATTTCACCTAATTAAAATTAAAATATTGAAAATAGAAAATATAATAAATACTTAATAGTTGGCCGTAGTATAATATAGATGAAAGAGATAGCCCGGGATAGCGGTCATCAATTATATAATAAAGTTTTAGTAACCGATATTTTATTTTATTTTTCACTAAAGAACATAGAAACTATTTAGTTTCTTAATCAGATAATTTATGAGTATCATTTCATATTTTATTTCTCTAGATTATTTTCCATAGTTCCAGACTATATATTGCAGGTGCAGTCTTCGAAATGCTACTAATGGCACTGATAGAATTAACATAGAAAATTGTCACATACCACTTTTTGGACTTATTATAGCGATGTAAGGTGGAATGCCCGCAGAGCATTGCCGCCGTGTGGGTTTCCGGATATTGAGCTCTAATCCCAGATGAGGTTTTTTTTTTTAACTGTTCAGGATGTAAGTCTTTAACTATTCTCTTCTTTAACAATTTCTTTCTTTCATAGACCTTTTTCAGCTGGATTAAAATGGGAATTAGCCCGTCGTTGGACGATACGATGCTAATAATTAATAAGATGCTCGGAACCAATGATAATAGTTATAGATAGTAGTTATGGTCTCCTCAACGTCGAATCTTAAATTATTGCTAGCTGCCCATGCGTTAATACTATCTATATCTTCTTGTAGCCTTCAGATCGCATCAAGCATATGGGCCTGATGGTAAAAAAGATAGATTTGGAGATCAGTAGCACGAGATCAGTATATAAGGGGTACTGTGAATGTTGGATAGAATCAGACAGGTCGTTAATATACATAGGGAAAAAAGTTGGAGAGAGCGAAGATCCCTGAGGAACACCACGAGCTTGAAGGAGGAAGGAGGAATGAATTTATTATAAATGATGACTTTTTGGAATCTGTGATAAAAGGAGTGGTAACATTGTAGAACCCAATTTGATATGGAGATGTTTTGGATTTTGAAAAGGAGGATTTCGTTATTAAATGAATCGAAGGATTTAAAAAAATCAAAGCGATCCAAGATAGAGGTTTTCTTTTTGTCAATGGAGAATAGAAGGTCTTGAGTAATTTTCAACCAAGCAGATTGTGTGGAATACTGAAATCGGAAACCAGAATGGAGAAAACCAGATGGATAGTCTTTTAAACAAAACAAGAAAGATAATAAGCTGTGAATGGGCTGGTCTTTACAGTGCTTTTGAAAGGTTGGAGAGAATGGAGATAAGGCTGAAGCGGACAGGGACTATGACTTTCCTTCAAGCTGATGGGAAACAACACAAGAATTTTGTAAGAAAGGATTATAAATATATAAAAGGATGAAAAAGGCAGACATAGTTAGACAGGAAGGCGTAGTTTGATTAAATTCACCATAATCAGGTCAGGACAGTAGTTATTTGCTCTGGATTTGAGGAACGAAGAAACTAGTACTTCTGGTGAAATATTTGTAAAATAGAAATTCCCATTGTCAAAGGTTGTCTTTAGAATCCAATGTAAGGAGATGAACTGTATTGGAATAGGATCGGTAATGCAGGAATTTAGTTCATGAGGAGAAACTGAATAAGATGTACAAGTTTAACAACGGACAAGGTTTTAAAAAAAAATCCATCTGGTTCCAAATTTGTAAGAAAACAATAGAAAAATGTTTACTAAAAACTATTTATTTTTAAATTAATAAACCTGTAAAATGGAAAATCCATTGTAATGGAAAATCCAATCCATTGCCATTATCATTGCTGCTTCTCAGAATTTCGCTGGTATCTTCTCTTCTAAGTTCTCTTAGACATTTATTAAAAATGTCCTGAAAGTTTAATTTATTCGGAATATATTAAGAGAAGATAACATGGCATTTCTGGATCGTTTAATTAATTTTTCTTTCATTAAACAAATACAGACGTCACTAATTTAATTTAATTTAATTTCTGGAATGTTTTTGTACTCCATTAAATGATAAATATCAAAAGATATTTCACATTTTATTTAAAAATAAATAAATGTATTCAATTAACTTAGTTAATAAATCAAGTTTCTCAAACGAACATATTAAAAAAATATATGTATTTAGTCTTCGTAAATATATTTATCTATTAAGTTAATTGTATATATCATGGGTGGTAAATAGTCAGGACGCAGTCATTATAATTTTTTTTTTATTTGTGCCAACGTTTTAACCCAAACATGTGGGTCATCTGCAAGGCTGAAAATTTTAAAATACAATCAGAGATATAATATTATACGACCGATAATGGTAAATAATAAACTAAAGTGATTAATAGTAAATGAATCTTAACTATTATTACAATAAACAATATTTAAAATGAATTATGTAAAAAGTTATACAAACTAAAAATAATATATATAATCTACTTATAAACATTTGTAATATTTTCTCTTAGTATCCGTGGTTCGAGCACAGAAGGCTTTCAAATACTGACACATTTTGTAGGTAAGTGAAAAGGTCGTGGAAGGATTTCCCATTTTGTCCTTTTTCAGAAAGCAAAAGGTAGGTAATAGTCTGTGGATCAGACCCCCCCTATCGTGCACCCCCCTCCCCCATATCCCTATAAATTCCATATCGTTGTGTTCCTTGTAACAATTTATTTTTAAAAAAGCCAATGTCCCCACAAAAAAAATGAAAGAACTGCCTCAAAATAGGATCCAAACATAGCGGATTGACGACTTTGACTTTAGTTAGATTTTTGGTCAATGAGAGTCAGCGTTTGGCTTAATTTCCTCATAGTTGGTTTTTTATTGAAACTGAACAGTCAGGAAATAACAAAACATGAACAAATATTAAAAAATAAATGGCTTAGGTAATAAAAAAACACCACTAAAGTCAATTTTTTTAACAAACAAATTTTCAAGTTGAAAATCAAGTGTCGTTTGTAATTAAATGACCAACAATAACGCAAAACGTGCTAAAATAAAACATCTGGAAAATATATTTTTCTTTCGAAAACACTGATTACTTTTTAAAATATTTGAAGCAGTTCCGTAAAAAATCTACTTAAGCAGCAGAAAAGCGGTACTGGCGTAGGTGCCTACAGGCTTTTACCACACCATTCAGTACTTATAAGTGGCTTAGTTACAGTGTTATAATACCGTATTGATTGTATTAACAAACAAATATTAATGCAATAATTTAATTGTCCAATAATTTATTTAAATAATTTTAATTTATTATATTTTTTTTTTAAATTTTATTTCCTTTATTCTATACGGAGGTCGTTTAAGACCTCTATTGTAAAAATTATATAATTATAATAATAAAACTTAATTAGAAAATACTTTGCAGAATGTCTTAAATTTATTATTTAAGGTTAGCAATTTAACACTTTGTTTTGTATATTTACTGATTCTTAAAGGTAGTTCAAATTGTATATACTTTCCAGGAAATGAGTCATATTAATACCTGTTTTATAAACTAAAATCATATATACCTAATCTGAACTAAATATAATGAATAGTTGATGGGATGTTTAGTAAAACGCATTGTTCAAAAATTGCGGAAAAAATTGTTCTGAAGTTGGACCATATCATAAGAAAATAAGAAATTTTAATATTGAATGCAATATTCTCTCTGAACTAAGAAAGTTGGAAAGAGCGAAGCTATAAGTTCTAGGTAACCGGAACTGATTGTTAGTATTTGGTCTCAAAATAAGAGAAAACCCGAAATTGAACACAAAAATTGGAAAAATAAATTAAGCGAACGATAAAGAAAGTGCCAAAATCTCGAAAAAGAAAAAAGGACCAGTATCCATTATATGGGTACACGAATGTATAGTAGACAGATGAACAGAATATTTCAAGGTGCTGCTAAAAGGGAGTCAAATGCTGGAGAAGTTTGGTTGATATCAAAGGGACTATGCAGGTTTATTATGGTGAAGACCACTTTTTTTCGATTGCTACTAAAGTTGCACATTGGGCAATCTTCACTTTGAAGCAGGTTATAGAGAGGTCTGTCGAGAAGGCGAAATAGCTCTCCTTCTGTTTCCGTCACCGCAAAAAATTATTTATAGTTGAAATTTCAGTTATTGAAAAATTCCTGTGTCTTTGATACGATTTTTCGGATCAGTACATCAATAAAAGATATTATGCAGAATTCGTAACCGTTGCTTAAAAACTGGGTTTGAAATGGTTGGCTGCAGATACTATGTCGAGATGTTAGTTTGGGGTTGTATTCACGGTGAATTCAAATAAAAACAAATTTAAATATATTATTGTTTTGTGGATGTTTTCACTGTGAATGGAATCTTCCAAATAACTGCTCAACCAATATAGTCCGATATAAAAAAATAATCCCATTCCTTTTAGTATATATGTTTGAATATGTATATATGTAAGTGAAATATAAAGACAATATCTGGTGCGCGCATCACACTAATTTCACTTACCTCCCTTTTAGCAGAAATAAATGTTTTCAGACAAAGGGAAGTGAAAGTAAGAATTATAGACGCTATATTTATTAACATTTCATTTTGGGTAT